AAGTGGGAGGGTACGGTTCTTGTCCACAGTGGTTAAACTGTTAGCCCTCTGCCAAAACCCGGGTGCCCTCATCCAGCCTGCTTGCTGGGAATGGTTCTGGCACCTGCTTCATCCTGCGTTATACAGGAGAGCGCGAGGTGGCCCGGGCCAAAACTCTGAAATGTGCTAATTGTTGAACAGTATGGCCAGTACTGGAGTCTCTGCCTTAACCTTGTCTTACTTCCTATTAGTCATTTAGCCCAGCATATGTTAGCTTCCTGACAGATTTTTTTTTTTTTTTTTTAACATATAACCACAGAAATATTGGTTGGAACTGGGCTCTGGAGCTTATCTAGTCCAGCTTCCTGGGTGCAGCAGAATGCAGCTGGCTTGGAATTAACAAGTGCTAAAGGTAGCTGCAGGGATTTAAAAAGTTCTGTTTCAGTGAGGAATGCAATTTTTTTTTCTCGCTTTCAGTGGCGTTTGGCAGAACCCTGTGGTAAGCCCATAGCGCTAGGTTGTGTGTCCTACTCGGTGAGTCCAGCATGTCATCAATCCTAGACAAAGTTTTTGCCTGGATAAGTATCAGCACTGCTTGCCTCTGCAGTGCTGCGGGTGGCATGGTGGCAGCTGCGTGTCCTCTGAGCAAGCTCTAGCTGTCCTTGATCTCTCCTCACTTAGTTAAGGGTACACTTTCTCCTTAATTACCTGCAATTCATGTTATATTTCTACCTCTGCTGCTAAATTTCTGCTTGAATACTTTGCTTTATAATTGGCATCTCATTTCTTAATGTGGGAAGGAGAGAGTTTGGGAGGCAATTGGTGTCTCTGACTGGAGTGGGGAATTTCTGAATTCCAGGCGTGTATTGAGCACTAAATTGGCATATGGTCTTTGTGACTTTGTTGTCTTTTATCTGTCTGAGTATTGGAATTATCAGATGGATTTCTTATAGGGGTGATGTGAACACTGATTAGATCACATATATTTGGCAATAGGAACTGTAGTGTTCAGAATGATTTCTTCTTATTTAATTTCATCCCTGATTGTGAACATTTTTTCCTTGTTTGAAATTTCACAACGTAACCTAGAAATCAGGGATGCTGTTGACATCAAAATGGGAAAAATACTCCCTGAAAGCAATCTGTTACACATTATTCTAGCAAAATAACCATCTCCATACATGTCAAGTTAGAATATGACTTTTGATGTTTTTTTTTTCTTTCCTATTGCTTCACCGTCTCCTAGTTAATTATATCTAATTTCATACTAAATCATTATTCAAGACCAGAAGCGGCGACTTATTGGTATTTCTAAGTAAAAGTGATTTTGGAGATTGCTGGATGGGGCTCTGAGCAACCTGATCTAGTTGAAGATGTCCCTGCCCATTGCAGGGGGGATGGACTAGATGACCTTTAAAGGTCCCTTCCATCCCGAAGCTTTCTATGATTCTGACTGCATACTGTGCAGTTGGATGTTTCAGTGCCTCATTGCCTCTGTTCCTGTTACAGGTGCATGTGACAGCATTGCAGCGATGAGTGGAATTTTAAAGAGGAAGTTTGAAGAAGTTGATGGCACCTCACCTTGTTCCTGTGTGTGGGAATCAGATGATGACATTTCTAGCAGTGAAAGTGCTGACAGTGGTGATAGTGTCAATCCATCCACTTCTAATCATTTTACCCGTAAGTACTAAAGGGGTGTATCTAAATAATTCTTCCTGTTCCTCAAAATAAAATAAATTTTATGGTTAGATGATTGAACATGATGATTTTAAATTGAACAGATGATAAAATGGACTCTCTGCGGTGTTCAGTTCGTGACTCGCTCAAAATGACTTGGCAAACTTGCACCCCTTTGCCTTCTTGTTAACTACATAAAACTATTTGTCGCTGTAAAAATTTGAAGTCACTTGGAAGCCCCTGCCTATTTGCTATTTGAATTATGTAGCTGTTTGTAGTTAACATTGGGAGTTGTGCTTAAGGTTTTTTAAACAGGTACTGTAGGGAAGGTGCTTTAGGTAAGTTTGTTTATTTTCCTTAGATACGTGTAGTGCAGCTGCCAGTTGTCTGCAGTATTGTATTGGTGAGAGTTCTTCTCCAAGGAAAATAATAAGCTTTCTTTTATTTGGAGTTGAGGAACATTGTGTTTGGGACTCATTCTTGCAATAGTTTCTATTCTTCATGTAGGGAAGGGTGTCTCTGTACTAGGCAATGGTTTTGTGTACAGATAAGAATTTGGTTTTAAGTTAGCAAAGCTATATGTGCAGCATATATATCTAGGAAGAATGAATTTATGGTTTGTCTTCGTGGTTTATGATATTTGTTTTAGGTGGTTATACTGTTTTAATAGTGAAATGCGTGTTTTAAAAAGCAGGGGTTTGCCTCCTTCAACTCTGTTGCATATAGATATCCCCACTGGAGTTAGTGGCTATAAAGCTGTTTTCTTAAGACTGTGGGCCAAGGAGTAGGTGAGGCTCCTCATCACTGCCCATACACAATGTGATCCTTATGTGGTTTAGACTGCGCCCAGAAATCATGTTTGTAGTGTGTGATATGAATGTTCTTGGAACTGATTCGCCTACCAAATGCTGCTGTGCAGTTTGAGCTAGGGTTTGGATGTGAGGGTCCAAATCCTCTTGGCTCTAGTATGGAATACTCCTGTGCAAAGGGTTACACAGGCACAACTTTTCAAATGTGTTTACACGTAACAATCTTGATGTGGTATATTATATTTAAGATGCAATACTAGTAGGGGACCTATTTTATTGAAATACTACAAAGGAGTAAGTGACCCAGTAAATCTCTTTGGTAGTACTAAGAAATAGCTTGGTGACAATATTATCTGCATGCTGATCTTTTAACTTTTGCATCTGTTTAAGGACTTAGATGATTATTCATCATAGACTGAAAGCTGTGCTTTTACATCAAACAGTCATTGCCACCCACATAGAAGACAGCAATTTTATTGTGAATACATAGATAATACAAAGAAGGCTTGTAATTCAGGGGAGAAACTTGGAAGTTGTAATACATGCATGTAACAATAAGCTTTGATTGTAATTGACACAATAAATAATTCAGTTTTTGAATAAAATCTGTAAGGGAAACTATAGCATTTCAGTGTTACGATTAATGATCCATATAACTGAGATATTTGTGGCCAGAGTAATAGATGCTTGCCTGTGCATGCACTCACACACACATATGTAGAAGTTGTACATACTACATTTTTTTAAATACATATATATATGTATCAGTCCGCAATATGGAAATAGAAAAGTAAATTGTTGCCTGTGCATTGATACTACTTTTTAAAAAGTATTGTCTTTAATATAGATGCAGCAGCCTAAATTCCAAGAAATCAATACAGAATAATCCCAGTATTATATAAGGCTGGTTTGGGAAGACGCAAATTGAACAGGTGGCCTTGGTGCTGCATTTGAATAGGCAAATCTCAAGGTCCTCAGGGAAAAGACTTTTGGAGACTAGTTTCTGTGCCACTGGAACGTGACATCTTTCAGTGTCTAGCATCGCTCTTACTGTAGTGCAGTGTACTTGGAGGGGCTTGATAAAGGTGATAATTTTTTAGTGGTAAGAAAATAGAGGATGTTGATGCTCAGATGAAGTCTAGAATGGAAAGGCGGTTTTATCCCTACCGAATTACTTGCGTCTTGCAGCCAGACTCTCTTCCAGCGTGCATCATTGTTTTGTAACTTTACCAAGGGCACTTCATATTGCACCTGATGGGGAAGTCAGATTTTGTTGATTTATTATTAAAATGCTGCAAGTGAGATTTTTGCACCTTCTTCTTTCTTAATATTAAAGCATATCAGTTACTTCTATGTTTACATAATGGACATTACCAACTGAGCAGTGTTAGAAAACTCACTTAGCTAGCCTTAGGTACATCTGCTATGTGTAAGGGCAACTCTGCACTAAAAAGGTGAGTCTTAGTAATGATGTATGATAGCGAAAGTTAGTATGTGTTTGCAATAAAAATTAATCATGTTTATATTTAAAATAAATGCAAAGGAGTAAAGATACTTGACAAATGCTGAAAGATGGTTTTAACTTGATAACTGACTACCTCTAGAAAAAACAGGGGGTTTGTTGAGATTGGATTTTTATTTTGTTTTATTCTTCTTGCATTTTCTTGAGTCTTCATGTGCTTTGATTCTGGAAGGAATGTTTTAATTGGACAACTGGTGAAATTTTCATACACACAGGATTTGTTTTCATTTTGGTTTGTATCGGTTGGTATCAGTTTTGTGTGTGATGTTGGATGCTCTTCAGGACAGGAGCACTTTTCTTTGTATGTACTTAGATTTTTTTTTTTTAACTTCCAGATTTTTTAAACAATGTTATTTGAAAAAGCATATTTTGAGTTCTAGGCAGTGATAAAAAATGAACTGATCCTACTGAGGTACTTGGCCCTGTCTTGTCAAAGCAGAATATGTAGAAATTGTCAGTGTTCATATCTGATGAATACAGGTGTCTTACAGAGCTACTAAGTGATGCTCACTTGAAAACTACATGCAGATGTGTTGCACAATAACAAAACTGTTAACCACGTACATTGAAAGGTGTTTTGTTCATTCTTTAAACACATTTGTCTCCGAAATGAAAAGATAAGAGCTTTCCTATGTTGAATGTTTGAATCCGTACTTTCAAGTGCATACGGAAAGGAAGAGTTCTGTGAGACTTTTTCAGTAAAGAGAGTGAAAAGAGCCAGTGCAGAAGGGCGGCTGGCCAGATCCCTTGCCTCTGTTACACGCCTGAGTACCTCCTTGGTGGGGGTTATCTTTCTAAGCCATTTCCTGATGCTTTGTACCATTTTCTTTTCTCTTCTGTGAGACACTGTCTGATCCTGTGTACTGTCTTCCTTCTGGTCCATTTTCATGTAAGTAAATGTTCAGTACACACTGAACATTTATTACATTTTTTACCTCCAAATTATTATTACACAACGTTCAGTACACACTCTTTTGCTGACTGGGAATGTGCGGGTTGTGGGTTACCTGTAGTCAACACTGAGATCTATATGTTGATTCTTTACCTGAGCTTTTAAAAAACCCTGACACGGCCCTCTAAGTCTTATTTTTCCTTTCTAGTGTACCTGACAAAGAGAGAATTTTTTAATCACTTGTAGCTACAACTCTTTCAATGCTTCAGCAAGCAGGCAGTTTGTGTATAAATCTATCTGGAATAGCTGATGCATCTCAGTATTTACACAACCCTTGAAACAATATGTGTTGGGTCAGATAAACAGCAACCTTTCAGCTCTCCTGCTCCATTAGCCTTAAGGTCAGTATAACCTGCCAGCTAAATGAGGCACACAGCTGCTGTGGATCGTTCAGGTGGGGCAGAACCACCAGAAGATAGCTTTGATGTCAGCAATTAACCCTGTAGTGTGATGGCAGAAAAGACATGACTGAGATGTCCCTAAGTGCTATCCATTGTGACTACTACACAGGGATAAGTACAGTTTCTTTAACAATATATCCGTTTAAATAAATCAAGACAGCAATAACAACAACAAAAATCCCTAGCCTAAGTTACAGGCGTTTTTTTCTGAGTCAGGAAATTAAATTACAGTCCATAAAGCATAGACAACTGTCACCAGGTTCATAACCAAAAAAAAAAAAAAAAAAAAAAAAAAAAAACGTAGTATTTTCTTGGTCAGGTCTGTGTGTATATACATCTGCACATTTTTAAATCTCTTATCAAATGGTGACGGATTGCCTTCATTACCACTGGCAGATATAATCACTACCATCTTTTTTACTTTTCTCAGTCTCTTGGGGTCATTTCAGTTTGATTCAGCAGGCCGTTAGTCACACCGCAGATTTACCTTAATGGATGCCAAAGCATATTACTAACCAGTCCATGTACCTGTCCCATTTCATGGCCTCTCCTCCATATCAGAAAGAGGGGTGTTCATCTTCAAGTAGCAGTCCAAGCATGCATATGCAGTATTAGTCAGGACTGAGAATACTTTTTCCCTTTTTCCTTAGAGGTACATGAAATACAGCGCGGGAGCACACCCAGTGCCATTTCAGCTCCTCTAAATTGCCCTGTTGAGCTAGGGCACCCCGCGGCTGCGTTTCATCGGCTCCACAGCCAGTTGTCTTTGGCACTGCCGGTCCGGATGTCAGTACAGCGCCCCGACAGTTCCTGCGGCTGTGTGTGCTGGGTTCCACGCTCCAGCGCAGGTGGTGGGGATTCTCCCTGCCCTACGGAGGTACCTGCCCCTAAGGCTTGATCTGTTTTTCCAATAAAGAAAAATATCCACGTTTAAGTTGCCGACTTGCATGCAATTGAAAGACATGGAAGACCTCATCAAGTCCTGTCTTTTGCACTTTGGTGCTAGTAAAAAATCCCCATACCACATTAATTACAGATGCATCTCTTAAGAAACATACTTAGAGGAGCTGCTGCTTTCCTCTGCCATTTCAACTTCAGCATAGTGTAGCTGAAGCTTTCCGAGTAATGCCTTTATTGCAGAGGCTTCTCCACCTGCAGAGGGAGGGAAAATCTCCAGCACCAGCTCATCTGACAGGATCAACAGGAGGTAGAGCCATCGCACAGTCTAGCTGATATCCTCCATCAATTATCTGTATCTTGCCATTAACACTATCGCTGTCATTAGCAAGGTTATCCTGCAGGACAGGTCCTGTCGTTCT